ACTCGCACAGAGAACCACAGACTCGCACAGAGACCCACAGACTCACACAAAGACCCATAGGCTCACACAGAGACCCACAGACTCACACGGAGACACAGAGACTCACGCAGAGACTCACGGACTCGCACAGAGACCCACGGACTCACACAGAGATCCATAGACTCACACAGAGACCCACGGACTCACATAGAGACCCACGGATTCACACAGAGACCCATAGACTCACACAGAGACCCACAGACTCACAAAGAGATCCACGGACTCACACAGAGATCCACGGATTCACACAGAGACCCATAGACTCACACAGAGACCCACGGACTCACACAGAGACCCACGGATTCACACAGAGAGCCATAGACTTACACAGAGACCCACGGACTCACACAGAGACCCACGGACTCACACAGAGACCGACGGACCCACACAGCGACCCACAGACTCACACAGAGACCCACGGACTCACACAGAGAACCATAGACTCACACAGAGACCCATAAACTCACACAGAGAGCCATAGACTTACATAGAGACCCACGGACTCACACAAAGACCCACGGACTCACACAGAGAACCATCGACTCACACAGAGACCCACGGAGTCACACAGAGAGCCATAGACTTACATAGAGACCCACGGACTCACACAAAGACCCACGGACTTACACAGAGACCCACGGACTTACACAGAGACCCGCGGACTCACACAAAGACCCGCGGACTCACACAAAGACCCACGGACTCGCACAGAGAACCACAGACTCGCACAGAGACCCACAGACTCACACAAAGACCCATAGGCTCACACAGAGACCCACAGACTCACACGGAGACACAGAGACTCACGCAGAGACTCACGGACTCGCACAGAGACCCATAGACTCACACAGAGACCCATAGACTCACGCAGAGACTCACGGACTCGCACAGCCGTCGTCATCACCACTCCACTACTCCTCCTGACAATCGTCTGGCTCATCAACCACCCCAATGTAGCATCACAGCTGCTGCCGTTCCACAGCAACAACAGCCGTCGGATGATGATGATGAAGAAGCAGTTCGCTGACTAACGTCTAAAAGAAACGTTCGCTTTGATTTTAGATTTCATCCGAGAAAAAAGAAATCGGCGAACAAAAATAAAAGAAAATCCACGCCGGTGAAATCCTCGCTCCAAACAACGACACCAACATCGTGTTTAGGTTGTCGTTCTTCCCCCGCCGCATCTCCCGATGAACACAGTTGGCTACGTACGGTGCGAAAGAAGTGCAACATAAATACTGCCCATAGATGATTTGAAGCTTTCGTTACTGCAGGAATTACTCTTTGGTTCTTTCGGTAAAGTCACGTAGAAAGAAAATAAATTAAATAATAGAATACGTTTCGATTGCAACACAAGCAGTCGTCATCAGGTAGAACTAAATTTGAGAGAGTAACAAAACACAAACACGGAGACACACAGACATACACACAAGCAGAGAGAGACACACAGCAAAGACGCACAGACATACACACAAGCAGGGAGAGACACACATCATAGACACACAGACATACACACAAGCAGAGAGAGACACACAGCATAGACACACAGACATACACACAAGCAGAGAGCGATACACAGCACAGACACACAGACAGACACACAAGCAGAGAGAGACACACAGCATAGACACACAGACATACACACAAGCAGAGAGAGACACACAGCATAGACACACAGACACACAAGCAGAGAGAGACACACAGCATAGACACACAGACACACAAGCAGAGAGACACAACACAGAGACACACAGACACACACACAAGCAGAGAGACACACAGCATAGACACACAGACAGACACACAAGCAGAGAGAGACAACACAGAGACACAGACATACACACAAGCAGAGAGCGATACACAGCATAGACACACAGACATACACGCACGCATAGAGAGATACACACAGCATAGACGCACAGACATACACACAAGCAGAGAGACACACAGCATAGACACAGACATACACACAAGCAGAGAGACACACAGCATAGACACCGACATACACACAAGCAGAGAGACACACAGCATAGACACAGACATACACACAAGCAGAGAGAGACACAGTATAGACACACAGATATACACACAAGCAGAGAGAGACAACACAGAGACACAGACATACACACAAGCAGAGAGCGATACACAGCATAGACACACAGACATACACACAAGCAGAGAGAGAGACACACAGCATAGACGCACAGACAGACACACAAGCAGAGAGAGACACACAGCATAGACACACAGACATACACACAAGCAGAGAGAGACACACAGCATAGACACACAGACAGACACACAAGCAGAGAGAGACACACAGCATAGACACACAGACATACACACAAGCAGAGAGCGATACGCAGCATAGACACACAGACATACACACAAGCAGAGAGAGACACACAGCATATACACACAGACAGACACACAAGCAGAGAGAGACACACAGCATAGACACACAGACAGACACACAAGCAGAGAGATACAACACAGAGACACACAGACAGACACACAAGCAGGAGAGACGCACAACATAGACACACAGACATACACACAAGCAAAGAGACACAACACAGAGACACACAGACATACACACAAGCAGAGAGCGATACGCAGCATAGACACACAGACATACACACAAGCAGAGAGAGACACACAGCATATACACACAGACAGACACACAAGCAGAGAGAGACACACAGCATAGACACACAGACATACACACAAGCAGAGAGCGATACACAGCATAGACACACAGACATACACACAAGCAGAGAGAGACACACAGCATAGACACACAGACATACACACAAGCAGAGAGAGACACACAGCATATACACACAGACAGACACACAAGCAGAGAGAGACACACAGCATAGACACACAGACAGACACACAAGCAGAGAGATACAACACAGAGACACACAGACAGACACACAAGCAGGAGAGACGCACAACATAGACACACAGACATACACACAAGCAAAGAGACACAACGCAGAGACACACAAACATACACACAAGCAGAGAGCGATTCGCAGCATAGACACACAGACATACACACAAGCAGAGAGAGACACACAGCATATACACACAGACAGACACACAAGCAGAGAGAGACACACAGCATAGACACACAGACATACACACAAGCAGAGAGCGATACACAGCATAGACACACAGACATACACACAAGCAGAGAGAGACACACAGCATAGACACACAGACATACACACAAGCAGAGAGAGACAACACAGAGACACACAGACATACACACAAGCAGAGAGACACACAGCATAGACACACAGACATACACACAAGCAGAGAGAGACACACAGCATAGACACACAGACATACACACAAGCAGAGAGCGATACACAGCATAGACACACAGACAGACACACAAGCAGAGAGAGACACACAGCATAGACACACAGACAGACACACAAGCAGAGAGAGACACACAGCATAGACACACAGACGGACACACAACCAGAGAGAGACACAGTATAGACACACAGACATACACACAAGCAGAGAGAGACACACAGCATAGACACACAGACATACACACAAGCAGAGAGAGACACACAGCATAGACACACAGACATACACACAAGCAGAGAGAGACAATACAGAGTCACACAGACAGACACACAAGCAGAGAGAGACACACAGCATAGACACACAAGCAGAGAGAGACACAGCATAGACACACAGACATATACACAAGCAGAGAGAGACACACGGCATAGACACACAGACAGACACACAAGCAGAGAGAGACAACACAGAGAGAGACACACAACATTGTGTCTCTCTCTGTGAGAGACACACAACATTGTGTCTCTCTTTATTTTATTCCTACGTGACTTTACCGAAAGAACCAAAGATTATGGATTCCTGCAGTCACTAAAGCTTCAAATCAACACTGCCCATAGACTCAACACTCCCCATAGACTCAACACTACTTATAGACTCAGCACTGCCCATAGACTCAACACTGCCCGTAGACTCAACACTGCCCATATACTCAACACTGCTCATAGACTCAGCACTGCCCATAGACTCAACACTCTCCATAGACTCAACACTGGCCATAGACTAACACTACCCATACATTTCGAAACGTCGTGAGAATATTATTGTTTTATTTTATTTTATCAATTTATTATTTTATTCTCATTCTACGTGACTTTACCGAAAGAACCAAAGAAGAACTACCCATACACTAACACTGCCCATAGGATAACATTGCCCATAGTCTAACACTACCCATAGATTAACACTGCCCATAGACTCAACACTGCCCATAGACTCAACACTGCACCAACAATGTACGCACAGTGCGCACACGCGACTTGAACACGAAGTGCATTCTCGTTCGAGCAGGACAGCGCCAACGGTTTGGAGTAACATCAACAAAAACATTATCAACAACATCACTATCAACAAACATTAACGGCATAAAAAACATCAACAGAAACATCAACATCATCAACCCGCCAGACCCTCCTCGGTATGTTCACGAACCGCAAACACAAGCGTCGTGCTGGAGAATGTTGAACAACACAACGACGACTCATCCCATCAGCCCCACGACCTTTCTGGGAGCGTGGCAAGTTCCGCAGCACTGGTTCAACACAAGCTCCAACTGTTGGGCAGGTTTCCACATTCAGTGTCTCATCAGCGGCGGGTGAACTGCCCAAATGTGTATCGGGCAAGGACTGGTTTCGACATTCATTGTCTCATCAGCAGCAGTCAGGCTTCGCTCGAACCAAAGCTGGTAAACCGCCAGATGTGATTACCAAGGATCACACCCTCCCTCCCCCTCTCTATAAGCCACGAGTCCCCCCGTGGTTCTACGCGGTTCTATTCAACACAAGACACAGACAACAACACAAAGTCACCAAGCGTTAGCGGCGCAGAGGAATGTACGAATCAATGTGTGCACTCACCTCTCTCAATCTCTCTCTGTCTCGGGAAAGAGGAGGAGTAGTTGGTGGTGAAGGAGCAGTGTGTGTGGGGGGGTAATGTTGGTGGTGCGAGTGATGATGGAGGTGGGGGTGGTGATGTGCGGGGAGCGGTGGCGCAGCGGTTAGCGCTGTTGCTGCGCTACGAACCCCGGCGACGCGAGTTCAATGTCGCGCTCACGACCAAAAACAGTGGCGAATGTTGGAACCGGGTACTGGGCCTCCCCTAGGTCAACTCAGCCTCCAGTGAGTACCTGGTGCGGTGTGGAGCAAACATCGCCACTCGGGAGACAAAGGCGACCGGGCGTGGTGTTGACTACCCACCCCCTCGCGTGCCGTGCCGGCCTTCACAGGTGCTACTCGCTAACAGCACTTGCCCCAACAGTCTGTTAAGGCTACACAGGGGATCTTTGTCTTGTGCATGATAGTGGTGGTGGTTGTGATTTTGAAGGGGGTGGGCTGGAGGTTTGCAGTTCGCGACCTTGACGCCTGCTCGATAGAGTCTGCGTGTCTCTCTCCCCGTGGTAGAGTGGATTTTTAAAAGGATAAAAACAATTGTGTATTTCATCTTACCAGGTAAAGGCCCCACTGAGCTACTGTGTAGCTCTTTTTCAGAAGCGACCTGGCCATCACAAATGATAGCTCAACGAAGTTGCTTATCACGTGGACATTTATAGCAGCTAAAATACTCTAAACACGCGTGATGTTGATTCTAAACGTGAAGGGAAAACCCGGAGGACCTTGAGAAAAATCCACGCGACCACGGGGAGAGTGACACGCAGACTCCACAAAGCAGGCGTCAGGGTCGGGATCGAACCCACGACCTCCTGTGGACCAGGTGAAGTAGAATCAACATCACCCGTGTTTAGAGTATTTGGTTGCTGCTATGAATATCCACACTACGACGACGATGATGACGATGAGCCCACGTGGTTGAGCTTGCTATCATTTGTGATAGGGTCGCTTCTGAAAAAGCTCAGTGGAGCCTGACACCTGGTAAAATACAAAATAGTTTCTAGTTTGGTTTATTCCACATGTAGGGGTAATCGTCACTCACCACTCCGTGGGCTGGTAGCTTCCCCTTATCATCAATAGGGGGCGGAAACACTACCACGCCAGGGCTCATGTATAAGGCCCAAAAAGGGGCCAACGACAAACCCGAGCAAGCGGATCCTGCGGCACATTCCCCGGGGCCCCGGGAGGGGGGAACCGGGGGATGATGTCACCTTCCAGAAAGTTCTAGAAGGGAGGCGTGGCTATGGCGGAGCAAGCCACGAATCAGTATATAAGCCGGACCTCTCAGAGGTCTGGCTCAGTCATCTGCAAGCTGATGAAGGAAGACCTGGGCTGAAGATAGAACCCTGGACCCCAAGCTCCGATGTCCTTCTAAGGGCCGGAGCTCAGTGAGGCCAGTGGTCAGGACCTCCCCTCGGGCCCCAGCCAGAGGACGAAGGGTAACGGGGTGCCCAGTGATAGGGCGCGTATAGTCCGGAGGCCATACCTCCCCAGGTATCGGGTAAAGGGGCAGATATACCCTTTGTGTTAGGGACTTGTAAGACAATAAATATCGAGTTGCCTCATCAGAAGTTTATTCGTCAATTCATACCCACGACACACACATTGGAAAGATCACGCGTGGTAGGGTGGCAAGTGGTGACGGGGTGGGGAGGTGGAGGTGAAAGAGTGGGGGGAGGGGGGCTCTCTTAGTGAGTTGTGGGGGGAGGGGGGCTCTCTTAGTGAGTTGAGGGGGGGCTCTCTTCTTGAGTCCAGGGGGGAGGGGGCTCTCTTACTGAGTTAAGGGGGGCCGGGGGGGGGCTCTCTTAGTGACTTGATGGAGGAGAGGGGCTCTCTTAGTGCATTGTGGGGGGAGGGGGGCTCTCTTCGTGAGTTGTGGGCGGAGGGGGGCTCTCTTTGTGAGTTGTGGGAGGAGGGGGGCTCTCTTCGTGAATTGTGGGAGGAGGGGGGGCTCTCTTAGTGAGTTGTGGGAGGAGGGGGGCTCTCTTCGTGAGTTGTGGGAGGAGGGGGGCTCTCTTCGTGAGTTGTGGGAGGAGGGGGGGCACTCTTAGTGAGTTGTGGGGGGGAAGGGGCCTCTCTTAGTGAATTAAAGGGGGGCTCTCTGAGTGTGTTGAGGGGGAGGGGGGGCTCTCTTTAGTGAGTTGAGGGGGGGCTCTCTTATTGAGTCCAGGGGGGAGGAGAGCTCTCTTAGTGCATTGAGGGGGGCTATCTTAGTGAGTTATGGGGGGAGAAGGGCTCTCTTTGTGAGTTGAGGGGGGAGGGGGGCTCTCTTAGTAAGTTGTGGGGGGCTCTTTTAATGAGTTGTGGGGGGCTCTCTTACTGAGTTGAGGGGGGCAGGGGGGGCTCTCTTAGTGACTTGATGGAGGAGATGGGCTCTCTTCGTGAGTTGTGGGGTGGAGGGGGGCTCTCTTAGTGAGTTGTGGGGCGGAAGGGGGGCTCTCTTAGTGAGTTGTGGGGTGGAGGGGGCTGTCTTAGTGAGTTGTGGGGGGAGGGGGGCTCTCTTAGTGAGTTAAAGGGGGGCTCGCTGAGTTGTTGAGGGGGGGCTCTCTTGAGTGAGTTGAGGGGGGGCTCTCTTATTGAGTCCAGGGGGGAGGGGAGCTCTCTTAGTGCGTTGAGGGTGGATATCTTAGTGAGTTATGTGGGGAGGGGGGCTCTTTTAGTGAGTTGAGGAGAGGGGGCTCTATTAGTGAGTTGAGGAGGAGAGGGGGGCCTCTCTGAGTGAGTTGAGGGGGCCTCTCTGAGTGAGTTGAGGGGGGCTCTCTTAGTGAGTTGTGGGGGGGAGATGGAGCTTTCTTGGTGAGTTGTGGGGGGGAGGGGGGCTCTCTTCGTGAGTTGTGGGGGGTAGGCTCTCCGTGTCCCAAGGCCAAGTTTCCGCACCGCCAACAACGACCGCCAAATCAATGGCACGGTCGTCCTTCCCTCCCGCCCCTCCCTTCCCGCCCTTCCCTCCCGCCCCTCCCTTCCCGCTCCTCCTCCCCTGCAATGGGTGCGCGGAGTCTTCCTGGTCAGGCCAATGAGACACCGACTTCATGGCGGTGCGCACCACGATGCCCTTCATTGTCATGCCGAGAGCAACTGCCGGATTAAGTTCCACCACCCAACGCCGTGGGAGTTGTCCGCTTGGGGCCAGGGCACGCGGCCGCTAACATGCGGCCAGCGATGTTTGTCCATGGCCGGGTGGTATTTGTTTTTGTTATCAGGAAGTGCATTAACCTCTGCGCGACCGCTGCCTCTTCGCCCACAGGCACACGATGCCAGCTATATACGCACACAGCAACAACAGCCGCCCTTCGCCACTCAGTGTCAGTGACGTCACCATGACAACTGTGCCAGGCTAGGTACACTTTCAGGCCACGTGGCCAATGTGCCCCCTACTGTGCCAACGTGCTGTGATTTAGCCGCCCGGCGCTCCGCTCGTTTTGTGAGCGGCGCTCCTCTGCCCTCCGTTGCTGGAGGGCGATTGCCTCCGACTGCCTGGGCATCAATCAGCCTCCCGTTGTATCTGTACCAGATGGAAATTCCTCCGGTATAGCCATGGATCAATTCTCCAACTACGTGGTCACGTAGTTTTACCCGGGCCTGCTCACCATCATGAAGGTCCTTAATTATTGTGAGAAGAGGGTCTGTGTATCAGAAAGCACGATGAACAACCCAGAGTCCTGATCTATTGATAGCACCATAGGCCTTGACCACGTCAATAAACCAGTGATGTGAGTTCCGTTGAAATCCCTTACACCTCTGCTGTAGCAGACGGACAGAGTATAGGGCATCAGTGCAGGACAGCGCATACATTTGTTGAGTGGAAGAATCGACACGGAGACGTCTCTTCTGGTACGGGCTCACGCCAGGTTTATTAGGGGCTTACGCCTAGGAACTAAGTAGGGGCTTACGCCTAACAGTTATTATGTACTATCGTATAACTCCCCAGGGAATGGGTACTGGGAGGTCCCTAGCAACCACCCAGGCTATTCAGGCTCTTCCATCATCACCGACCGAGGGATCTGCTAACTCGGTCAGCCGGGTGAAGTAGCCCCCCTAGCCTGGTGCTAATTTCCCCTACCCTGGGTCCCCCCGTCTAACCTCTCTGTTCCCGGCCCCTCACGACGACCCCGTTCATGTCACTGGTCTCAGCTTATATATCCCCAGGTGACAAGCCGTCATCCATTCTACACCCCAGGGTGACATAACGTCATCAACTACTCCACAACATCACCCCCCCCTCCCCCCGTGAAAAAAAAAACAGCCGACCCGGCTGCAACTATTACGTGAGCAGAGTCTGTCCGGGCGGAAGCCACAAAGACAAGGAAGACAGGACCGGCTGCTAGCAGGAACACAACATTAGGGCAGCACGGAACATAATAAGTCAGGACAGAGTCGCCACTCGTGGCAACGTAAGTGGCGACAAGGTAGGGGATTTAAGAAGACGGCCCCACAGGCCGTCAGCGTACGCGCACGCCCCTCGAGCGCGTACTGGCTGCCAGCCCGCTCCCACGCGTGGCGTCAGCCGGCACATGGGCGGGTTGAGACGCCGCCGGCGGCACCACCGGCGGGGGCACCGTAGGAGCGCCCAACGGTGGGCCACTGCCCCCTGCAGCGTCGGCCTCCGGAACAGGTGGTGGCCCGGAGGGAGATAGGACCTTCGCCAGGACATCCTCCGGACGGCCCGATGCTGGCGGCGTCACTGGCGGTGGTTCTGCGGGCGTACACAAGGGCAGGGCATCGCTCGCATCACTACGACCCCCGCGGCACGACTCGTCGGACGCATCCATCGCCGGCCACTCCAGAATTGGGGATGAATCAGGAGGACCCGGCGGCACCACCCCCTTGAGTCACGGCGGGTGCATGATCCAGCGTCAACGGCCCCACCAAATGCGGACACATTGAGGTCGGCGGACCTCCACGACCTCGACAGGGCCCTGCCACGGGCGATGTAATTTAGGGGAGGTACCCACCGGCACTTCAGGGCAGTGCAGCCACGCCAACTGGCCCTCTTCCCACGGCAGGCCAACCGTCTGGTGCTTGGGCAAGCGCTCGGTGGCCGCCTGCCAGCTGGCCGAATTCTCCAGAGCCGCCTGCCGCACCTCGCGCAGCCGATCGAGCGCGACC